AATTACAAAATTACTATGTGAAAGTTCAGTTTTATGATGTAAATTTGGAAAACTTCAAACCTTTTATATTTTGATAGATGATCTTTATTATTGAAAGAAATAACATTTGGTATTATATGGTGTTGGCATTGGCCATGTTTTATATTACAGAAATTACTATGACACCACCTTACGTAGTTTTACATATGGACGCTGGAGCCACCCCAAAAAGTTGGGGGTGGACTCTATCCCGATCTTAATTTTTTGGTTCTTTTAAATTTATATTAGTAAAAAATCTTTTAGCTCATGTTATATTATATTAACCATGTGGTAATCTTATTTTTTGGCCCTAAATAAATTATATTTATTTTAGATTAAATCGATGACTTGTATATTTGAACATGATTTAAGTCTCTTAATTTTCACTTTTCTTTTTACGTCATTATGTCTTTTTTTTTTGTCTTATTTTTTGTGTTTATTTTTTATTATTTAGTTAAACAAAATTTATTTGAATAATTTTATACGAAACAATAATTGATTGTGTTAGACTTCCAAACTAGGTATATGATAAACATAAAGTGCGCGGAAACAGACACGTAATAATGAACTCTACAGAAATAGCATTTTGACGTGACATGTTATTATCATAACAAACTCCAAAAAAGTATTATCCGCACGTACATCACGTCAACATTAGATCGTCATGTATTTAATCTACCTATTATTTATTGAGGCAAGTCAAAATATAGTCAATTCTTATAATTGATGGATATTTATTACTCCCTCCTATTCATAATAAGTGCCGTTTTGGGAAGTTGCACACTAATTAAGAATAATTTTTTTGTCAATAATAACCCTCATTAATGAAGATAGAGATTGATGTTTAAAAAAAAATGAAGAGAATATGAAAAGACGTAGTGTATTTATTAACTAAATAAGGGTAATAATGAAAAAATATGTACAAAAGATCCAAAACGACATTTATTTTGATTAATAGTTGATAAAGTCAAAATGACATTTAAAAAGAATAGGAGGTAGTACAAAAGATACTCTTTTAAATTACTTGTTGTTACAATGTTACGAGTGATAAGCACAATTATGAAAGTCCGAATTCAACCTGATTAGACAAAGTACTGAAAGTTTGGATAATAACTAAACATCAACACCAAACATATCATTGTAAAAGAAAACTATCATAATAATATTTAATTTGAATGTCTGTCATAGATTACTTTTTGAGTATTTTTGACATATAAAGAAATTCATTTTAATTTTCTAACGTGTGCTATTATATACCTATACGTTAAGATCATTTAGTATCTAACAGTATCCTTTTAGTAAATGTTGTACCTAATAAGAATGTAAAGAAACTAACAAAATTTGCCACCATTTAGAATATGAAGACATATCATAAACTTAGAAGACTAATTAGGAACCCTAAATCATAACAAACTAATACAAGACTGTGGGATATGCATGTATGAACAAAAATAGCAACTCTTTGTACTTAAATAGCTTTAGCTTCGAAGGCATCAATGTTATATTAGTCAGTTGCAAAACTCATTCTATCGAGTATAATGGATTTGAATTACAGTCTCATCGACTAAACTAAATGCTTCAAAGTTACTTGTATTGTGCACTTTCCTCCTACCGACTTATCAAAATATGAATATCCATGACGCATCAAAACCTTTTACACACAATGATCAATTTTGTTCTTCCCTCTCAAATAAGTTTATGAGAAGAATCTTGTTTCTTGCCCAAAAATTGCAAAAGTGAAAAAATATATATGAAAATAGAAATTTCCTATCCTAAATGTTAACATTTCCCACTCGCGGTGCTTGAGAGTTATATTTATAAATTCAACTATACTGGAACACATCACTTCCAGCTAGCCAATAAGATCGCAAGTAGTATTCACGCAAATATATAAATGTGTAATAGTTAATATTAAGATATCGATTTGCCACTCTAATTTTCCATGCTACAAGATTTAGGTACAATATCTTCAACACAATGTACAACTCATAGCGGTTGTACACCGTGCATCACAATATGTACTCCTCAACAGAATTACCCAAAAAACATAAGCTGCTAAAATCAGACAGAAAACGGAAAGAAGAGAGAGAAAGGGAGTGTCGAAGAACTACGATCAGAGAGAGAAACAAAGGAAAAGGGTCTTCAATTTTCTGATTCAGAATTTCCTTTACTTTTTCCATTTTAATTGGGAAGAGAGAGTGAAAATAGAGAATGCGCAGCAAAATTTTGTGAGGGATGAGCAATGGCCGTATAAGCTACTGGGTTTCAGACAATTAGTTAACAAAGCTAAAGCTCAGAGTGTTTTCGTGATCGTGTTGCTATAAATCTGTATCCTTGGAGCTTCAATAAGGTTAGCCCATTTGTTTTCTCGTCTACCTGAACTCGTAATTTTGTTCAAGTTCGAATCTTTTGTATTTCGTTGATTTTTGTTTGTTCCAGTTTTGGATTTCGAGCATAAAAATCTGAACTTGAAGTTTAAAATTCAACCTTGAATCCTTCTTTAATGAAGCGGCATTTCGTTTTATCCATTGAATTTCGATAATTCATGTAAAAAGAATTATTGGGTGGTTTACTTGGAAGAGTTTCAGGGAGATATCTAATTTTCGAGGTTCAGTGCAATAAACACTTAATTCATCTTAGCTACCTTGAATTTTGAGTTTCGAAACCCTAGAATTTAATATTCATCTGGAATTTGGGTTTTTGGAGGGAGAGTCTGTTTGATTGGAAGTTTGAGATCTCTGGGCCTCAATCGAACCCTTCAATTACTGTTATGCTGAAATTGACCTTTTTTTTATGATGGCTGTTTGCATTTGGCATTGTTAGGGTTTGTCTCATAGGGATGATTATCCCTTGTTTGGATCTTCTTATTTGGGACTCTAGAAGAAAAAACCCTAATTAATTAAAATTTCTGTATGTCGTGTTGTAGGCTCGTAGAACTGTGAGTTCCTGCTATGTGGGTATAGACACAACATAGAGATGCAACCGCCACGTCAGCATTCGCGGGTCAACCTCGCCGAGCTGAAAGCTCAGATAGCCAAAAAAGTAGGGCCCGACGGCTCAAAGCAATACTTCTATTACCTGAACAGATTCTTGAGTTTAAAACTGAATAAATCCGATTTCGACAATCTCTGTCTTAAAATCCTTGGACGGGAGAATATTCCTCTTCACAATCACCTCATTCGCTCGATACTAATAAATGCTAGCACCTCAAAAACCCCACCACCAGCAAAATCCGCGATTCACACTGGCAGTAAAGATAGCGATAATAATCACATTCCAAACGGGCCCCACCATGCGAATACAGCTCAGCAGCCCTCAAGTTTCGCAAATGGAGTTGACATTCTTCTGCCGATTTCACCCAAGAAGGCCCGAACGGGCTTACGTGACCGTAAAAGTGGGGACCGCAAAAGCAAAAGCACACTCGGGTTAAACGGTAAAACTAATTTTACTCCTCAGCCACCGCCAAACGATTTTAATGCAGTGCCCGAAAATTCGTCAGTCTTGAGAAGGTGTACGGGCGAAAATAGAAGCTTAAATTCGGAAAAAGAGAAGGAGCCTTCTTCTTTGCCCATGAGTCCTATCCGGGCCCCACTTGGGGTTCCGTTTTGTTATAAGGGCAGCAGTGGTGGATATAAGGGCTCGTTTTTCAGTGATGGCGTTTTGTGGGATAGCGTGAGTTTGAGGGAACGTATGGAGCATATTGCTTTGGGAAAGGGTCTTGAAGGAGTTTCTTTAGATTCGGCCGACTTATTGAACCGCGGTTTGGATTCTTACATGAAGCGGTTGATTAGTTCGTGCATCGAGCTCGTGGGCTCCAGGAAAGGAAATGAGGTGAGTAAGAGTAGTAGTAGTGTGAATAAGCAATATGGTTATTCAAAGCCAGTTAATGGAGTTAGGCCAGGGTATAAAAATCTGGTGCAGAGTAGTGGGAAGCTTCCGGAAGTTCATGAACAAATAAATTATTGTCCAATTTCTTTACGGGACTTTAGGGTTGCTATGGAGATGAATCCACGGAATCTAGGCGAGGATTGGCCATTATTGATGGAGAAAATATGTGTAAAGGCATTCGAAGAATAACTGTCAAGTGGTTTGTTGGTGTGGGTTTAATTTCTTGAGTTGTGGGCCCCTTGAACCTGTTTGGTGTTCTTAAAGTGAAAGTTCTGGGATAACGGGTGGTCCAAAACAGGGAATCTTGATTCCATTATGCTGTTTGGGCTTTTTTCTGCATAATTGGAAGAGCCATTCATCAGCAATCGGTAGGATGAGCTGGACACTTGGAATCTTGGTTCGGCAATGTTGTACGATTAGCATTATCCTGAGTCTTTTTTTCTTTTTTTTTTTTTTATTATTTTCATTTTTTCTCTTTTTTCCTGTCTCATGTAATTTACAGTGGATTAGAAATTTTAGAAACAGTTTTGTTTGAATAATTTTTTTAGTTTAAGTATTCCAGTGACGAGAAAAGGTGGGATTTGCAGGATGAAATAGTCACGCGTATGTACCATCACTCAGAATTGGTTGGGATCTTAGTATTAACAACACAGATTAACGAGTTGCTTTCAGCGATTTTTTTTCTTTCCCTTTTCTTTTCTTTTTCTCCATTAACTATAATACTGTTTTTGGTTACTTATATTTGAAAGGAATTGAGTTATTCTATTCTCAAAATTTGTTATGCATAATCGGCTCATCGTGAAACTTCATATGGGTTCGACTGCTATGTTTCTTCACTTGGTGGCTGATAATTATTATTAATTTGTTTTAGCAATAAAGTATTTTTAAACTGATATGCATAGTATGTCATTCATAAAGATATTAGTTTAATACCTTTGCCATTTAAAACAACAATTATTTATGAGAAAATCTCGACGAACATGGAATTTCAATAATTTACATCAATTTTTTGTTCTTAACTTTGAGTTTTCTTTTGTAGCGTGACCTTATACTCCACTGCAGTTCCTTCACTTGTGGTTTATTTACTTCTTTATTCGTCCATATGACTGTGTTTGTCTTGTTTAGAAGGCTATATAACATCTAATGAATTATACGAGCGCGCTTTTATAGAGAACGGTTTCCCTTTGTAGCCCTATGTGTGTGGCAGGGTGTGAATAGTGCCTCTTTCATGCCGAGGGATTCCTCATTACAGGTTAATATTAATACAGTTTTTCCTTATTTATTTATTTGTTTCTTATGTACTTTTTAACTCATATTGCTGTTTGCTATAAACTCTTTTACAGGTCTGAAAGCACTGTGTTGAAATTCCACTTAGTGGTTGCCTGCAGACTTTATTTATACACTTGGAATTTCTCAAACTGAGGATACACTTATATAAGCTATATTTTCTCTGCCACGAATGAATCACTTTTCCCAGTCTCTTATGTTCACTTTTCAGGATACTGAGATGCTTTTAGAGTGCAAAGGTATGTTTTATAAACTGTTGCATTTCCGGCTATAATTTGGGCTTCGAACTTGTTTGCAATACACAGGTCTTTCACTTCCAGGTGCTATTTTACTAGTAATTACGGATTATGGTTGTGAAATGCGGAGAAAAAAAAAAAATCATCAGAGGCCAACTATTATATTTTCTATGGCTATTGTTAACAATCATTTCGTTTAGGGTTAATTGCAAAATGTACCCTTAAGATTATGCCTAGTTAAAATCAATAAGCAATAGCCCAACTAACAGAATTACGTATGTTGTTGTTGAGATTTTCTTTTATTGAAACTTTGCAAGTTCTTTCTTTTATTGAAACTTTGCAAGTTCATGAACAAAACAAATTTTCGAAAAGCCCTTCACATTTATAAGAAGATTACAGTTAGTCAGTTAACCCGAAGTTCAAGATTAACTCAATCTTCAAGGGGGTTTATGCAATTTTAGCAGATACTTGGGGCGTTTTCATTAATTCAGTTAGAGCTCAATGTACTGTGGTAATTAATCCTTTCATATAAAGGCTGGAAGTCCTTTAACAATTATGTGACAACCTAGTAAGTTTCGTTATTACCCACCAATGTCAATAGATTTTTCTAAAGATGTTTACAAAAGATCAGTTGTTCCTTCTTTGCTTTCTGGCACAATTATTAATTGCTCGACTTTTCAGCTTATTCCCCGAAGAATTGACATTCTTTGCAATTGTACTTCTTTTTTGCTATGAAGTATTCTTGTCATTCATTGCTATTATCTTTGAGTACACGTGTCTTCATATCCTACGGCGCTACATTGATTCTTAAAAATGGTACAAAAACACAGAAATCTTCACGTTTTTTATGATTTTGCTATACTAATGAACAATAGCAACTTTTGATCTTTTCAGTATTTTTTTTTTTTTTTTTTTTTTTTTTTTTTTTTTTTTTTTTTTTTTTTATAAGAGNTTTTTTTTTAAATTTCTTTATTTCCTTTTTTGCTTTATTAATGTAGTTTCATACTGACTATATATTTTCTCAGTGTTCATGTCGACTTTTCTTAACCGAAACAGGTGAGAACTGGATTAAGTTCAGTTCTTGCATATGTTTTTGGTATTTAATTGATGGACATACACAGTTCAGGTGTGCATTTGGAAGTTTTCAGACATATTCACTTTCATGAGTTTCAGGTTTTGTTTTGACACGTGAACTGCTCCACAGTTTCACGTTTTTACTGCCCAACGACTGAAGGTAAAATACTTATGTACAACTGTTAATTTACCGTCCTGTGTTGATTGTATCTCAGGTGCATGTAAAAAACTCGGGATTTTTCAGTTTACCTCAAGCTGTATGAAGTGATAGCTAAGAATATACAAAAAATTATAAAAAAAAAAATTATATTTTCCAGCATTAGTATTTCACAAACAAATACCTCTTTGTGGGGAGTGATTTCTGTTACGGTACTATAGTTTAGGGCCCTCATTTGATATCTTTGCTACTTAAAAAAACAGCATCTGTCTTTTCATGTTGAACTTTTAGACACAGTTTCAATCTTATTGAGTCCTTTTATAATGGTTCAGCAGATTTGAACATTATATTTATACACAGAAAATCATTCAATTTTCTTGTGTGTAGGAAAAATAATTCCAGGTGGATTTTGCTATTGAACCATTTTTCTTGTAGTTCAGTTAGATTTTCCAAAATAAAGAAAAACAAAGAGTTATTTGCAAAACAACTTCAAGTATATCTAAATATATATTCCTACTTTATATTTTTCATTCTTTTTTAGTAGATATGCAATTATTTAATAAACAAGGTAAAAAATAATTATTTTACAAAGTGAGTTACATGGGCTCCCCCAAATGTTCATTCCACCTTTAAAAACTCCTACCAATAGAGATGATTGGCAGAAAGCAAACACAGTACATATTTACAAATGACTGCACAAAGTCTGTTTCAACCTCCCAAGTAGTATACGATGAACTCTCTCAGGTGTGTATCATATTATTATTTTTCCAAAGAGGGGGGAATAAAATTTATTGTACCAAATGCATTAGAGACAATGCACAGTTTGCTTATTATTGAGATTGATGAGTCGACAAGGAAGGGCCCGATTGTCCGTGGTTGAACCACGCCAAGTTCTTCATGAACCACCGTTGTTTGCGTTTTTTGTGATGTGAAATTACTTGTGATTCGCTTCTCCTCAACATTTCCCACATGATTTGGACATCCTCGTATCCACATGTCTGAATGTCGTCATGGAGTTTCAAAAGCCCCGCACCTTAAATAAATAAATTAAAGTACAGTTAAATAACAGATGAATGATTCAAGAAAATTGCACTTTCAAGCCAAATATGTTCGCGCGCAAACTAAAAGGTCTATATAAAGCACTTTTCAATCTATATAACAATTATTTTTTATGGGATTTTTTTTTCATCAATTATTTACGATATGATCCAAAGTTACGAATTGTGAAATCGAAAAACATCTCGACAAGGCACGTCGAACCAATGGTATAATTGTATCTATAAATTCTACAAGGGACAGTTCTGCATAGTATCATCTGATTTCGAAATAACCACAAGAAAAAATAATTAAAATCCCTCGAGGTATGCACTCGGTGAAATAGAAGCGAATGCTATAAGGGGTGTTGATAATGGGCTTTTTTGTGATTAGACTAAATATCAAGGGTGTTTTGAGTAAAATTAACCTTAATTTCTGCAATGTAGTTGACACTTGAGAGGACTAACAAAAGGATATGCCAAAAGGACATGTTTATTCTATGATTATTGTTCTTCATCACTAGACAAATCATGGAACCAGATTCTGCTGAATAGGATAGATTGATCCATGACTCGGTTTTTATGCTTATTAGATTCTCGACTGTAGAAATTGTTGGTGAAAGAGAAAAGCAGTAAATAAAGCAAGTGCATAAAATAGTGGGACACTAATTCGGTACTTAGCGGCTTAATTGTGTCATTATACAACTTAGGTGCTATCAGATTAAGATGTCACAAATCTCATACTTTAATGCCTTTAGTTGGAACTTAGTGGATGGATAATAGGCACCCAAATGAGTAATCTTTTAGATATATTTAGCATAGTTATGGGTACGAAAGATAAAAATAAAGGAATTCCATTCCAAAATAACTATCATCAATAGTGAAGAAAAAAAGTTGGTGGCACAAAAAAATATATGCATTATGTGCAGGGAGAAAAATGATCCTTCTCATAATTTTTTATTAAAACTGAGTAAGATAATGTTATAATCTTTGAGTATAAATGTTTTGGCAAAAACACAGAAATCCAGAAGTTTTGGTTCTCATGTATGATAAAAATCACTAAGAATTTGATCTGAGATATATTTAGCATACAGATAAACCAATAAATAATATTAAGACATAAGACGAATATATACCTATATATGTATTATATTTATCCTTACAGATAATGCATCTGCATATGTTCTGCTATAAGTAAAACTCCAAAAAAATAAACAAAGGACAAAAAGTAATAAGACCATATTTCATCCTGATAGGGTGAAACATAATATTCTGGCAACTTGCCAAGAATCTCTTGAAAATTAAGTAACAATAGTGAAACTTGAACAATCTTGCACTCCATATTCTGACACACTTTCCAGTCAAAACAACCAGGTTTAATTCAAATTAAGATAAATACCACTTTATTCTTCACCAATCAAAATAGTAAGAGATAATAATCTTCAAGAATGAGGAGCAAAAG